ACCTGCTAACCAGGGACACTGATCTCCAAACAGCTAACTCTCCCTGGCGCCCCGGGAGTCTCCTGCTCCCGTCCGCCAAGGAGAGAAACACTGCTGTCTTTTTTTTCTTTATTCTGACACGGAGCGATGTCAGAATAGTAAAGAAAAAAAAATTCCCATTGAAAAGCATTGGTACTTTACTATTGGCTATTTCAATTTGCAATAGCCAATAGTAAACTAGCATTGTACCCGCCCTCTGCTGCAGTTCTCCATCAGGTCCATCAGCAGAGGGCGGGTACAATGCTAGTTTACATTGGCTATTGCAAATTGAAATAGCCAATAGTAATGTACCAATGCTTTTCAATGGGAAATTGTTTTTTGTTTTTTTTTCTATTCTGATATCGCTCGTGTCAGAATTAAGAAAAAAAGAATAGACCCGTACCAGCCTGAAGGCCGTACCAGCCTAAAGGGAATAGCCGAACAGTGTTCGGCTCACTTCACTTCAGGACGGTCATTCACTCGGCTGCCTACGGCAGCTTAGTGAATAGACCCTTAAGACATTGTTTGAGCTTTTGTCACAAAAACCCAGATGCGCTTCCAATCCAAGGGGTTGCTGGAAGTTTAATTTCTTTTTGCCTCATATGGAGGGGTAGGGGTCCATAGATAAAAGTAGAGTATACAGGAAGGAGATAAGCCCTGGGCCCTGTAAATTTTTGGAGAAGTGGTTTGCAAATGTCGTTTGAGAAGATAGATCCTGTTTGGAGAGAGGGTCAGCTGTTGAAGAACATGTTTGAATTGGAGATTCTAAAAGATAGTTCTGGTTTAAATGGTGAAAGGTCTGAGGCGTATGAAAGGGTATCGCCCCTCAATCGGAAAGTGTTTAATTGGGCACTGCTTATATCAAAGTGTTGGACTTGATGGACATGTGTCTTTATTCAACCTCAAATACTATGTAACTATGTAACCAAAGACATATTGGGTTGCCTAAGACCTCATGTCTTAGGCAACCCAATATGTCTTTGGTTACATAGTTAATGTGCGGGGAGATTAGTTTGTACACATTTTTCAGTTAATCCCATAGTTGCATGGAATGGTTACACGGCACATGATTAAAGTGAGCATTCTGGAGACAACAACAGAAGATTGTTTATAGATAGTGGATAGGCCAAGTATGCTTCTAATGAGACCCATAAGGAGGTTCTATGTATGGGTTGCCCATGTGCTGTTTGGACGATATGTGCAGAATGGTAATATTGGGAGTACCAGGCCACCCTGTGGTTTTGTTCTATATAGTGCTTGTTTCATAACCCAGTGTGAGGTTAATTTTCATACGAACTGGAGGATATGTCTCTGCAGGGCGCAGAGTGGTCACAAATAACAGCAATTAAGTTACTAACACATGTTAACCTGCAGTGTATTCCCTGGGTCAAATCCTATTAAATGCGTAATTCAGATTGGATAGATTTTTGTGGTGCAAATAAACCAAGATGTATAGAAAAAGAGGTGAAGCCAACATATAAGAGTGGAGTCTCTGCAGTCACAAGCAACAGGGAGTGCCATACATTCAGGTCCATTCTCAATAAGCGAGAAAGATAAGAAAATCAGGAAGTACTCATCCTGGTCCAGCAGAAACAGCTGCTGGCAGGTTTTGATTGGCTGCCAGTACTGGGGTTGAGGCAAGACTGAGGTATACACAAAGAACTCTGAGTGGCCGAGAGATATTATAACAGTATAGAGATGGAGGGCCATCTCAGAGGAGTGTGTTGGTCTCAGGGTCGAGTAGCCAGAGTGCTTTCTAAGTCTTTCTTTGCCTCGTCAATTGAGGTGAAAGAATTACTTTTCCCTCCATAAAGGAGCTTAGAAGTAAATCCCCAGAGGTATTGGAATACACTGAGGTAACATTTATCAAATAGGTGATAGCTATGTCCTGGGATTTCCAGGGATTGGCTGTCTTCCACAGATTACAGTAGTAACACCTTAATAAGGTGCATCAACAAACATGGGTTTGTAGACCTCAGTCTATTTTATCTTCATGGCCTTCAAGAGCTGTGGTTATATCATTGCAGCACATGTCCGGGGTAGACATGTTTTTGCCAATGCCCTTTATTTCTTCAATGAGCCGAGTTGTAATTTGTTTAAGGGCCGTCCAAAACTTTGTGTAAGACACCCTCAAACTGCACAGTTAGGACCTGAGAGTACACCAAACGCAGGCCACGAGTCTTTCAAACCCACTTCTAGAGGATCAGAGGGTTCGAGCATGTGTCGTCTTTGACAAGTGCTGCCTGCAGCATTTTGTGAGAGTCTCTCGCAATGTGGTCTGAGCCCTTTTGCCTTTCTGATACACTCCCGGTATGCCATATCAGTGGATGAGGAATCTCCCAGGTATGAGGGAAGTGTCTACAGAGGAATCAAGCAGGTATGTCACAGCTGTCCATATAATCTGACCTGTTTATAATCAAGGCAGTGCAGAGCTGATCAGAAGATATCCATTTTGGTCAGCCGTGCGCATGCACCTCCCCACTTTTTTCTAAATAAAAAGTGCTGTAAAAGAACAAGGGAGTTACCTTCATCGCAAGACATACCGTCTTGCACCTGACTCTTTCACACCATAGACACCCCCAGGATGTGGTGTGGGAATGTGCATAGGGTTATCTATTCATAGATAACCCTAGCATATAGTAAAGTGCACTGTGTACAGGGTTAAAAATGTGTTACTTGAATGCAGGTTGGGTTAACTCATTCTTTTGATGCATAATAAAGTGATTATGTGATGCATAATAAGTGATGCATACACATGCCGGGTTAAAAATAAACTTTATTAGAAAAAAAATCCTCCTTTGCTAATACTCTATATGGTCATTTACTTAGAATCTAAAAAGAAGTAATCAATTACAGCAGAGAAATTGGACCAGGGGAATCTTTTAAGTTTTTGGGTGGTATTGTGTTAGGCCTTGACGACATTGAAGCATTCATTCAAATAACAAAGAAGCTGAGGCTAATTCCTTCATTGCAGTTCGCCATTATATCTATTTTGGATGTAATATTCAGGAATCTTCCAGAAATTCTTGTCCCATTTACTACAACAGATCCCTATTAGACTAAATTAGTTTTGGCTTGGAAGCTACACAGCAAAAATATTGGAGGGAGATGCTTTAAGCAATATGACCTCACAGGATTACTTAAAGGAGAACGATGGGGTCAGGGCTTTTCCCCATAGTTCTTCTAAGTGTCACGGGAGAACACAAATTAGCATTCTCATATGATCCAAAGCTCATTCACAGCTCGTGGTATACTGGGACGCCGCAGCCGGGACGGATGCCGACAATACTGTCTGGATCCACCCAGCTGCGGGATTGACAGCTGCCTCTGCCTATCCAGAGGCAGAGCCACCTGTGCCCGCCCCCTCTCCCGTCCGTTTCGTCAGTCAGCGCTGGAGGATCGGACAGGGGGAGACTCCCTGCAGGGATCCGTGAGTGACAGTCACGGCTCTCTGCAGGGATAGATCGAGAAGTGAGTGAGTGACGGTATGTGTTCGCTCACTTCCCGATCTACTGAGCAGACCGTGACAGTTTCATTGTCACAGGTCGGCTTAGATTATGAGGCTGAGTGAAAATCACTTGCCTCATAATTCTCCTTTAACCTTTTTTTTTCATAAATTGGTACATAATAACGAGTAGACTGACTCACACAAACAGGTATTCTGGGTTACACAGGGCTGCTACATATCCAATTAGCAAACATCTACTTTGTGAACTGGTAAACTTGTACAAAATCCACATGCCTTTCTTCAGTCAAAGTAGGAACCAGTTCTTTCATGGACCAGGAGTAGGGTCCCTGCACTTTTTTCATTACTGGGCACAAGCAATTTAGTGGACCCCTTTAATCAATTTACTACATGCTGGACAGATTAAGAATATCAGCCTGGAGAAGTAAATCTCAGCACTTAGTTGAGATTCATTCATCACTATTTGTGAATGGGTAAGGTTTTCTTCTAATAAAGTTTATTTTAAACAGCTGTGTGCATATGTTATATTAATTTACTACAGTTTATCTGAATGACTTATCATATAAACCCCACCTAATCATTTACAACCACCTGGGAAGTGAACAGTGCTCTGATTGAGGGCCCCATCTTTTTTGAGCTCCCTTATAAAGCACCCACCAGGTACTTGGGCACATATGGGCAAATATCAGCGAGGCAATACGAACACAAATTTCTGGTGTTCTATGTTAGAACCTCTTGACGTGGAGGAGGTTTTCATTTTTTTTTGTTTCCATAAAGAAATTAAGTAAAATACAGATAGTTAATAAATAAACAACATTAATTTTTCAAAATTATTGGCATAATGTGCTGAGTATGACTGTGAAAAAATGCATGAAATGGTTGAATTTCTTGTCTAAAAACAGGTAAAACATTTTTATTACGTGTTTATAAAAAAGGTAGAATACAAAAAAAGTGTGAAATTCACAGGAAAAAAAAACATTTGTTTTTTTTCCCCTAAAGATGGGTAAAATATTCTAAAAAAGAAACAACAAAGCAATTGATGTCAATTTCGATTTCACCTTTTTATAAGAAACTTATAGGCCTGGTTCACACCTGGGCATTTTGTAGTGCGTTCGAACACTCTGCAAAACGCTCAAACACCGAAATCCCATTATTTCCTATGGGTATGGTTCACACCTGGGCGTATTACAGGCCGTATGAACGCGCTACAAAACGCCCTACGCCCAAAGAAGTACAGGCTTCTTTGGGGCGTTTTTGTCGCACGTTTCCATTGGGATACAGCCAAGTAGCCCTCGGAAGTGTGCGTTTGTTGCGCGTTTTTTACTAGCGAATCGCGTGACAAACGCGCATATTCGATACGCCTAGGTGTGAACCCAGCCATAATGTGTTCAACACTCCCGCAAAAAAGTAGCTAAACAAATGCTTATAATCATTGGAAATAAAAGAAAACCCATTTTTTTTCCTTTTTTATGGTATGAAACAATGTATATAAAGATTTCAAAACAGTCTATTAATAATTTATTTTAACTCAATTTTCACAGTCGTTTATAGTCACAATGCTACACATTATTAAAAATATATAAACATTTACCTATATCACAACTTGTAAATGAATTGCTTAGCATTTTACAATTGTTTGGGATAAGAAAATATTATGGCTCCCAGCAATTTTCACAATGCAACATGGTTCTAAGTCAGAAAGCAGCTGCTGACATATGGTGATTTCAATAAACTATTGATTATTGGGAAACAACAGATAAAAAAAAATACAATCTGGCTAATGGCAAAAGTGTACGGATGATTTGGGTTATTGCATTAAGTAGCCCAAGGGACAGAGTAAGTAGCCATCTGTGTACCACAGATGGTTTGCAAAATATGATTCAATTTCATACATAATCTATATAAAATTGCTGTGTATTTTTTATTTTAAAACTACAAAATGATTTAGCTGCATACAAAAACAAGTTCAGTGATTGCTCTATAAACTTGGGATTGTAGCTAACATGACCTGAAAACATATAAAACATATTTTATGATACCAGTTTTAAATCACAGTTGTCCATCTTCTGCCCATAACTACCAAGGCAGCATCTTGAATGGTTCAATAATCTCCATTTTGTAGCAGTCCACCTAGGTGATGTCAGAAGCGATTGTGAGCGCCGTCTTCTTCATTCTCATCTTGCGTCCCCACATTTTCTCCTAGTGATGCCAGTGTATAATGATAGGACATGAGATAGTCACATTGCAATTTTGAGCTGGCTTTAACTGAAAACAAGGCTAATAATATATCACAAAGGAATGGAACTATGCATTCCCAACTGCTACTGGTGGGGGGCTGGATGGGAGTCCTAAAAAAAAGAAAAGAAAAGACAATATAATAAAAATATATAATGTAAACTTAACAGGAATAGAACAGTACTCATTACAACCCTTAAGAACAAATGGGTTCGAGAACGCATATACAACACTGACTTTGATGCATATGTAAAAACAAAAGTATTACCGACAATAAGTTTTAGGAAAGTAAATGTAAAAAATAATTGGTAGATTTCTATGTAAAAAAATGCCTGTCAAATGAGAGAATGATGGTAAGATACTCAAAGCTGCTTATTTTGAGCCGCCCCTATAAAAAAAGTAGCGCAGATGCATGTATTAAGGGCTTACGGTACTAATTTAAAAAACCTTAAAGCAACTCTACTACAAATAAATACAAGTATTCCATAAAACTACAATAAAGTGTGTCTAAAGTCACAATCTGTTTTATCATTTCAGATAGAGTATGGTTAAAATGGTTAAAACTAGAGGTGAACTGAAATGAAAATGTAAAAACCGAAACAAAACTGAAACGAAACCAAACTGAAAACCGAAAATGTTTATTTCCTAATTTTTTCAAAATGTTTAAAATATTTTATTTTTGTTTATTTTTTTATAAACTTTTAATTTTTTTATATTTTATTTTTATTAAATATTTTTATTTTTTACTTTACTTTTAGAGGCTTCGGGGGAACTATTAGAGGTCTAAACAGACAACAGATATTTCCCTTTTAAAATAGAAAAAGAGATTGAGGACACAGAGTCCTTAATCTCGTTTTCTGCCGTCTCAGTTATAAATGAACAGGAATCACCTATAGTGAGTGTTCCTGTTCATTCATAACTTGTGCAAAGAGTATGGTTACTGTAACTACAATCATGAATCAACAGGAGGTGATGTAGATCACTTCCCATTCATTCATAATTGACGATATAGTAACCATACTCTGTCCTCAATTATTTACAAACACTCAGCGATCACTGATCACAGAGTGTTTGTACCTCATTCTGCTTCCTGACAGCTGTCACAGGAGGCTGAGCGAGAAGTGTCGGGAGGAGAGCTCGATCTGACAGCTGACTCCTCCATCGCACCGCCTCCTGTGGCTGCCACCGCCCCACACACCGCTCTCCTCTGATCTGTGACAGGAGGCTGAGCAGTGCCATTTTCAGCCGATATGTTTTGGCAGCCGATATATATCGGTGCATCCCTAGTTAAAACCCCTACCAAGCTTCTTTTTCTGTAATGCGTGTCCCATTGGAGAGATTTTGCTGTACTTCCTGCCCTGTTGACACAAATGAAGTGCAAGCAAATCTCTCAAAAGTGAGGGAAATCCCCTTACTTGTCACCAGATCAGGTGGCCCCACTGAAAGATTTTACCTCTATTCCGATTGCAGTGGCAACTCAAAAGTTTTTTCATTCACTTTTGAGAAAGGGTCAATCTTCCCAGCAATACAAATCTGACAGAAGTTTTAATTTTTCTATTTAAAAAATGAAACAAACATTTTTTTGGACTTTAGATGCACTTATTAATACTTACCAGTCACATTGCCAGTGACTTTAATCTTCATTCCCTGGCAAAGCTACACCCACCACTGGAATCTTCAGCTTTTTACACTTCCAGGTGTGTTGGATGCCTGTGTCTTCCCGCTGGGTGCTGTGGTTCCAGCCGCTGCATCACTAGTGTGTCTCTACAAACAGAGGAGACATGCAGGCATCCAAAACCTGGACATGTTTGATACTGAAGAGTCCAGTGGTTGTAGCTCTGAAAGACAGCAAAGACTGGAATCACTAGAGACTGGACGGGTAAGTATTATTAATGTAGTTTTACGAGATTGGGTTTTTTTAAGCGACAGAATCACTTTCAGCTTAATATGTAGTTGAGAAGTAAATCAAAGTAAATTTGTTTCAAACAAATAATGCCAAATAGACAATTAAAGTGACTCCTTTACTAAGTAACTGAAAAGATTTGATTTGGAGACTTAGCATTGTTGATATATTTTGGATTGCTAGCCATGCAGATATCCAAGCTACTGTATATCAGAGATGCTCTATCTGTATAGACAGAAAGAAATCTTTTTTTTGTTTTACTTTACTGCAGTTTAACAATAGTTTAGTGTGGCAGCTGCCCTAGTTTTCTTTTTAGGATTTTTTTGCATTTCGCCAGTTGAAATTCATAATTTTTTCTGTGCTTCCTTTTTCTTTTTTGCTTGCTTTTATTGGTAGCTAACATTATATAACACTGCTAAAAATTATAGTCAGAAGTTTTATCAAAAACTGTATTTCCTTTAATATAAGTCCCTTTAGATTGTAAGCTCTCACAGACAGGCCCTTCTTACCATCTTGTCTTGAATTGTATTGTAATGTCTTCCTTACATTGTAAAGTGCTGCGCAAACTGTTGGCGCTATAAAAATCCTGTATAATAATAATAAGTCTATAAAATGTACAGCTATCAAGGGAAGGAATTAAATAAGTATCCTGAAAAAATATCTTTTATGAGAATAGCTGAAGCTTCTTCTTATAAAGACCCTGAATGTCTACATTATGAGCTGTCAATGTGTAAACAGCAGAGAAAAGGTTTTACAATCCCAGGAGGATGTTGACTCTTATCACAGTCATTACTCTCCAAACATAGTCTCCAAACATGGTTTGCGAGTATTATTTACAAGTCTTTGACATTTCAAGCCTATGGGAAGCAGCCAGAGATTGACCCATTCAGGTCCAGCAAAATGTGGAATGTGTTTGAAAGCCCTCACTGCATGCAGTATTATATACCCCGGAGAACAAAATATTCTTTCATCAGGGCCTAATCATGACAGATACAAAAATGAACGCAAAGCTAATAAATAAAAGCATGATACTGAATTTGCATATCAAATGAGAATTAATACATTTTTCACATTGAGAGTATAACTACAAATTAAGAACATTTCTAGCAAATGTAATTGTTCAAATATCCCTTTTACCCATATAGGCCCTTAAGGTCCCTGTCACATGGGCAACATCCATTCCATCTCAGCAGGGGATCCTAGATGGAGTCGGATCAAAACGGAGTGGGGGGGGGGGGGGCAAGGGGGGGCATGTGCTACCAGGCAGTGGCCCCACCACAGCTGCAGACTACAGGTGCTGTTTTACAATGCCAGCAGAACTCAAGTAGTTAAAAAAAACTGAGATAAATTTAAATACAGGAATATGGTTTTGCATATATTTACCCCATTTTACAGGCAGGTTTTCTATTTTGAAATCATTCTTCCTAAACCATCTATGATTCTAGCAGCCTATAGTAAAAACATAGTTTTGGGAGTTCTGCTCCACTTTACAGAATGGAAAGAAGTGTTGACACACTGTCTTCACAATGCTTAAAAAGTTTCCACAGAAACAGTTTGTACAAAGCAGAGAGGATGGGAAAAGAAGAGGAGGGACAGGGAAGGAGGGGGCGCATGCCAATCTGACTCTGGTACTCCGTTTATTTTCTTCTAGATTACAGTAAAATCTCTTAACATGGCTTCACTGACTCTAGTACAATAATAATTAAATACGAATATAGTTGGTCAAGTAGGAGTTTAATACACAAGGCTGGATTTTTAATATAACTTCAGTTACAGTAGTGAGTGAGTAAAACTAGCGTTTTTTTATACTGGGGACATCAACAATCATTTATTTAGCTAAACTAAGTCAAACAATGATACCAACTTACTGGTAACAAATCAGACTAAAACCCTGCTTATCCATAGTGAGCATTCTTCACTGTCAAAATGTGTACACTGTTCACCCATATTATTATTATACAGAATGTATATAGTGCTAACAGTTTGTGCAGCATTTTACAATATAAGACATACATTACAGTTACAATATAAGTCAAGATGGTAAGGAGGGCCCTGCACCTGAGGGATTACAATTTTAAAGGGAGGGGCAAGTGAAACATGAGGAGGTAGCTGTGTGGGGATGAATTGTTTGAGAAAACAATTGCTTGATACAAAGCTCACAACTAAAATTGTAACTGGTAACTTGTGGTAAGTGATATATGTCAGAACATGACATCATATTGGATGCGACTAGGTCTTAAATGGACACTTTGTAAAAGTACTTAGTTACAAAATATCTCTATACATTACACCTAATAGTAAAGGGTATAGCTAAAGTAGTAGTTTTGAAATAAATAAATAAAAAGAGCCAGCTGGCGGTCTATCTATATTAAACATTTAACACTGAATTTCATTAATCTGGTTTTGATTTGTATTTAAGTACATTTCACTGATCATTCCAGAAACGAACATACATTTTATAAATAATCACAATCACATGTATTAATCATATTTTACCTGGCATTACAATGTCTTGCTGAGATCCAGAGTCGGCACTTAAAGTCAACCTGCCACCTTTGGCCAGCCTGTCACATAGCAAGGTAATGTGTTTCTTCAGCCTAGTTGTATCTTTTGGAATCGTGAGTTGACTTGTGAGGTTAAGAGCCTGTTCTTTAGAGCTTTTGGACAGACATGTTCTTAACATATGAGACAGTGCTGCATCTACAGTCTCTTCCCAACCCTACAGGAAATGGGAGAAAAAAAAGACAATCATGTAATTATCAATAGAAAATTCAAAAGCAAATTATTTTTTAAATATCCAGCAATATCAAACAATTACATATTTATAAAAGGAAACCATCTTTATTCCCAGTCCACATAAATAATACCAACAGTACAATGTCTTGACTCAGTAGCAAAAAGGGCTATGCATTTAATAACAAAAGCATAAATATACCTAACTAAGGAGCCTGTGGTGACTGAGCCTGTAGACTACTGCTACAAAACTCACATATGCAGGAAACCAACTGCAGGAAAATGGTTAATTAATAATTGAATTAAAAAAAATGATTTTTGTCTTACCTGTAAAATATATTTCTTGGAGTACATCACAGGATACTGTTATGCAGCTGCCTTCAGGTAAGGGAAAATGGCAAATCAATTAAAAGATGCAGGGCAGCCCTGCATAACTCCTCCCCCTCCCAGCCTGCCTCAGGTTTGCAGCAAGCAGTACAGGGTAGATCACAGAAAACAGAGGGGAAAGTACTGTGTCCAGTGATGTACTCCAAGAAGGGATTATTTTACAGGTAAGTAAACAATCCTGTTTTCTTAATAGTACATCACAGGACACGGGTAGTACAATTCTTTAACCAGTGGGACATTCAAAAGCAGTCCAACAGATGGGCAAGTAATACAGCAAACAATATCTAAGAGACCCAATGAACAACAACCCTAACAGGGAACAGAAAAATGGAAAACAGAGGCATTTGCAAAGGTAATGACTATCTTCTGGGCAAAACTGGTATCTGCAGAGGCTGGAAAATCCATCTGGCAAAACTTGACAAAAGTGTGTACAGAGGACCAGCTGGCAGCCTTACATATTTGGGAAACTGAAACCTAAAGCTGAAAAGTCCAAAAAGCACCAACATTTCTAGTGGGATGTGCAGTAACTGGAAATGGAGGCACTTTTACCTTCAGCTTGAAGGCCTAAAAGATGGTCTGATGAATCCACCCAGCATCAGTGGAACGGAAAGGCAGTAGCCTCATGGGGACAATCAGGGATGACAGAGCCAGGCTTGCAAATGGAAGCTGTCACAGAGAAGTAACTGAGGTAAACCACTTGAACCATGTTAAAAAAATGGAGGGATTGTTTCAGTGCAGGACGCAAGGATTGTAAAGCTATGTTAAACTGGAGTTAAGTTGGAGAGCAGAGATCACCTTACGGAGAAAGGAGACCTTAGGCATCACCACATATTTATCCTTATGAATGAGTAGAAAAGACTCCTTCCACATCAAGACCGCTATATCAGAAACATTCCTAGCAGAAGTTATGCCATTGTTGCAAGTAAGGGCAGACTGATATCTTTAGCAGTTCAATAGATGGCTTCTGAAGGGAGCAGATGCCAATGGTTTTGTAAACATCCAGGAGAGGCAACTTGCTGAAGAGCCTTGAGATGAAAGCATTCTTGGCCTGACCTATCCAGAGAGGCAGCATGCAGTGGCACATGTAGGAAAGAGAGATGGTGGCAGGGAAGGGAGATACCACCTTATGGTGAAGCTCTGTCTGCAATCATGGTTGTCCATCCAAGACAATTGCAGGAAGCCACCCGCTGAAACCAAAGTGGCGCTGGCCTGTAAGGGGGACACTGTGGCTGACTATTGGGGTGGCTTGTCATATGTAACCCTTCAATGAAAGAATCTCATAGCCTGCCCATAAGGAAAGTAGGTTGTTGTATTTGATGCTGCAACTTGGGGGATGACCAGTATCTACTTTAACCAGCCTGTCACCCAGCCAGCAACTTGATTGAAGTAAGACCAAAGGAACTAGGATTTCCAAGAATACATTTCTGTCCCAACTCCTAAATTCAATCTAGCAGGGGCGGCTCCCTTGGCTGTCTTTTGTTTGTTAGCTGTACCTAGTGTCCTCTTGCTGTAGGTGGCCCTATACTCAGTAGCTGATGATCTAAAGCAGAGACTGTGTTCCCCAATGAATGAAAGAGAAATTAGTGTTTTAAGTGCTCTACTGAAAAAATAAGTTATGAAATGAGAAGACACGAAATACATTTACCAAGTACTTAAAATCCATATGACCATAAGAACGCAAGGATGGCTTATGCCATCAATGTCAATTCAGGGAAACTACAACGAGGTCCCCTTCCTATGGCTTTCCAACATATGGGTGAGTGTTACGAAGTGCAATGCAGCAGAAATGGACCACCTACATTAAGCATTATTTTAGGTTCTATTCCAAAAATACATAAGGTTTTATTAATATAATGTAAGTAGCAGTATAAACATCACCATATACAGTTTAATTACAAGCAAAAAAGAGTCCCCTCACACAGACCAAACTATAAAAACCTGCTATTTCATATGATGTCAGATTTCTCAAGGCAAACACAGGCATTTTTTTCTTCATATGGTAAAGCAGTAAATTCATTTTTATGGAGTAAAAATATACCCATGTAATTATACCTGAAGTGTAAACATTTTGAAATATGTATTGCATTTGCCTATGATGATCTACTTCACAGCTAAGGAACTTTATTCACCCTCACTGCTCTGGAAAAATGAAGTCTATGAAACACTATTCACCAGTTAATATTTGGAGTAGTTTAAAAGTTGAGTAAAGCAAATGTATTGCTATTCTACAGGCCAGATGTGAGAAAGCTGGAAGAAAGGAGGTCTCCATAGCCTATAGAATTTCAGTGGCTTCCTTTCATTATTCTTTTTTATCTGCCTAAGAAATGAGAGTTAAAATGTAACTGATTGTTATGAACAACATAGATACTTTTCTTCTACTTGACATTATAACTTAAAAGTTTACTAAACTCATGAGTTGAAGCCTTAAAATGCATTAATGTACCTTAACTATTAATAAAATATAGCTTATTTGTGTATCACTCAGCTGTACATCCTCAAATCATCTCTGAATTGGTGCTGACACTGTCCTTCCTTCTGGAGGGTGGATACTTTTGTCCCCCATGGTCCCTGTGTGCGTTGTAAAGTTGCCAATGATCCAAATTTACTCTGGTAATAAACTACAATCTCACTAAAAATTAGCAAATGAAACATGAGTTTATAGTCCATCACGAGAGCGTACTTGGAGCTGTTAAGGAACTCAAATGCATTTTTAAGGTTTAACTCCTGAGTTTAGTGTCACCTTAAGCCTCATTGGATCCAAGGAAAGCCTAGCACTTTTCAGCATATACTGTACATGACATGTATCCATAAAATTTAGGTCCACAGAATATAGTGTCTTTGCACTTTCAAATAATAAACAAGTGTACATGGGGCAAGAAGAGATCAACAGACATTGGGCTATTTTTGTTCATGTTTCACAAACTGTCTATATTGCCTCACAATAGCCAAACGGATTAAAATCTGCACAAGCAAATGATGCACTCGTAGACTATAATTCAGACTCAAAGTGCTATCTATTGGACAATAAAGTTATTTTTAAGTGATTCGCAGTTTTGAGATATGAGTGACACAAGGAATGTAATAAATCTGGAATCTCCTAACCCATCTCTTTGTGGAAGCTACAATGCTGTTTCAAGCTATGAAAAAACATACTCAGTTAAAGATGTATCTTTACAATATTTAAATTATCTTCTAAATGAACTCCTCCCCACCTGCAATAAGCTTATTATAGTTTCCCAGCAACATAATCCATGTTGGAGATATATTAATAAACATCTTTCTCATTGAGAGCCAGCAGCTGACACTTTATGTTCAGGAGTGGTCCCCAATCATGTAATCACTATGTTAGCTCTGGCATAGTGAACACAAGCAGGCTGGAGGCTTCACTAACAAAAAGGGAAGCCTTCAGCCTGCAGATAAACACTGCCACCTTCAGGCTGCAGTGTTGATCTGCGGTGCCATCTATTTAATAATGTTATTGTCGGACACAGTTGCAGTATTAAAAATAATGATAATACATTACATATATAAATATAGGTATATTTGTAAATAATAACACATTTGTCAGCCTAATAAAACAGTGTACCAAATATAAGCCTTATATGTCCTTAATATAAAAAAAGATATGTAAATTAGTCATGGAGTTATTGTTAACGTAAACATGTTGATCCTTCAAAATTTGGCCTACGCAATTAGGCCTCAATGACCCCTGATCGCAAAAAGGGTTAACATATAATGGGGTCAACTGACCTGAAAACTTGCGCAATGCTTTCTTTTTACTACCCAGACCTTATACCAGATTTTCTATGGACTGTATTTTCCGTTCAAGCAACATAAAAGTAACCGTACAAAAATGTGGTCTTAACCTCAGAATTATAAAATAACACTTATTTGATGAAAAGAAAAAAATGATTCTCAAATATTTTTCTTTGTGCATGTAGCAGGCCAGAATCTCCCAAGCACATAAATGTTCATGCAGTGTTTAATGATTTAGTCAGACTCTGTTATACAAGGTCAAAGCAGCTGCTTTAAGTAATGACAAAAATATTTTTCATTTCTAATTGGGTTATAAAGACATTTTATTTTGCAAATAATGAAACGGAGCCATCATTGCTGGCCTACATATTTATTATATGCGGCAGGACAAAGAGACAAGAAGAAACTAATATTATTTTATAGAAAAGAATACAATCTAAAAAACACAATTTAGCAAAATGGATAGCTTATGTTTAAATATACAGACGTGGACAAATTTGTCAGTACTTTTAATTTTCCCTGAAATAACTTGAAACTGACAAAAGTAATTGGCTTCCATCATTGTTTATTCCATATTTAATAAAAATCAGACTTTGCTTTTGCTTCCCAACAGAATATTTTGAATATTACAACAAATTAAAGTGGCATGGACAAAAATGAAGGAACCCTTAACCTAATATTTTGTAGCACAACCTTTAGATGCAATCTTTGCAAACAAGCGATTTCTGCATCTTTTAAGGAAATGTCTGCACCTGCCAACAGGTAGATTTGCCTGCCCTTTTTCAGCAAACTGCTTTAGCTGTCTGAGGTTTGAAGGTAGCATTCTATAGACTGCACGTTTCA